CTCCGTCTGGACCGTGGTGGCCACCGTGCAGGCCATGGAGAGGAAGATCGACCTGTTGGCCACGCGCCTGCTCAGCCTGGAGGGCAGGTCCGGCACGGCCGAGAAGAAGCTCCTGGACTGCGAGAAAACCACGATGGAGTTTGGCAACCAGCTGGAGAGCAAATGGGCCGTGCTGGGCACCCTGATGGAACTGGAGGGGAGAACAGGGGCAGCCGAGAAAAAAATATTTGGCTGTGAGAAAACAGAGCTGGAGTTCGGGAACCAGCTGGAGAGCAAGTGGGCCGCGCTTTTGGTAACCAGATGGAGAGCAAATTGGCCGTGCTGGGCACCCTGATCCAGGAGTACGGGCAGCTCCAGCGGCGCCTGGAGAACATGGAGAACCTGCTGAAGAACAGGAACTTCTGGATCCTGCGGCGGCAGCCGGGCACCCGGGGCGAGGTCCCCAAGGTAACAAATGGCTATGCATGCTTTTGGGGAGGGACAGCAAGGGTGTCACCTGGGCCTTGTTTACTGAGCCGACTACGGTGCGGTGCTGAACGGATGCGCCGCTGCTAACAAAGGAAGGTTTGGAAAAGGGCTTTTCAAACAGCCTGTGCGGGTTTCAGAAACTCAGATTTTTACTTTTTCGCATACATCAGCTGCAGTATTTGCTTGTGGAGACTGCGAGCGCTACACATCAAATCCTCGTTGAGACGAGGGGGTTGAGATCTCCAAATACACCTCTCTCAGTTCAAGCGCTCCCTGAGACAACCGTTTAGTTCCAGGGGATCCTATTACCTTTATAAATGACCATAGAAGCGTCGGCCTGGAAGGGACCTCAGGATCTGCTCCTGTGTCCCCATGTTCTAAGCAGCCTCTGTTACCCTGACCTCATCCCTGAGATTTTTATCAAGCCCATTGGAAAACCTGGCAGTGGCATCGGACCTGCGGCCTTCTCGGGCTCCCTCTTCCAGTGCTCCGCGACTCTTACACCTTACTGTTTCTAGGATCTGACTTCAATCATTTCTGCTGCAAATTAAGCAGATAATTCTCTGCTTATACTTAATCAACAAATCACACATTCTACCTTGTTAACAGCAAAACATAATTCATTTGTTGCTTTCTCACAGAGCCTGTTTCCTCAACCTCATCCTGAAACGGGCTACCCAAAGGAGACCTCTTGCAGTAGCCGAGCCTCTGCAAGGGCCAACTCTCAAAATTAATGCTACCATTGTGCTCTCACAGTAATTCTCCCACACAAGTGGCAGCCTTCTCCCACTTATCTTTAAATATTTAATGAACTCTGCAGAAACAGCTTAACTTCTAATTGCTTCTTGCAGAATTGCTGTCACGTGGCATCAACAAGTATCGAGTAAGTGAACTGTTTGTTCACATATATAGATTTAATTGTATATTATCATAAAAGGACAAATTCGTACATTTTATGTTGAGTAGTAGATTCTTACCCTTAAACAATTACAGTGAAGTAAATGAACTGCCTTTATAATCAGCTAAGGCTCTGCATAAGGAGATGTAAGAATATTCTGGAATTCGCAGTAGGCTTTCCAATAATTAGCACAAATAAACAAAGTTATTTAAACTGAAGGTCTGAGCCATTCCTCTCTCTCCTGTTTTGTACTCTCTTTGTATTATGCCTGAGTAGAAAATATTCCCAGGCAGGACTTTTTTCTCCCTTCGGTACTTAATACACTTCTGGAAATGGTGGAAGTAATAAATAAAAGTTAGAAACTTTCTTCTTCTCAACGCTCTAAGGATGGCAGGGCCAGCTGACATACCAGACAAGGTGCTGACTTTGTAACTTTTATGCTTACAGGTCGCAACGGCCTTTGGAAATGACACTGCTTCCTTTTCTGAGCGAGAGTGGGAGAATCCAGAAGAAGAGCAGAAAGAGCTGTACAAAAATGTGATGAAAGGGAACTATGAGTCTCTGATCTCTTTGGGTAGATATCACTTTTTCAGTCATTTATTGGTGCTTCTGGACTAACTCTGTTTTGGGGACTTTTTCTCATAGCTGGGAACCAAAGTTGTAGAAACTCGTAGAGGTCTGTGTTCCTTGCTGATGCCAGCCTGGAGCACGGTGCACATAATATCCCATCCCTCGGGATCCAGTGTTTGCTGGATGTGGATACTGGTTGCAGTTAACCTCAGTGTTACATCCAGACACCCCCTCCACTCCGTGTTGTGTACTGTGCCTCGCGCAGTCTGCAGGCTCATTCCCTTAGGCCCACGGATTTTTCTCAGATGGGATGGGGTTGGCTGTCAGTGGCAGAAGCTGCCATCTCCTGGGGGGCTCTGCAGAGGGCTCTCCATGCTATTAAATGTTTGCACCACCTGCACTATGGAACAGGTCTGGGGAAGAAGAAACACCGCCAACAGCAAAGAGTTTACAGGAAGTACGGAGATGTCTACAGCACTAGAGGCCTGCACATGCTCTTGATGTACAGTCGGTTCTGTTCACATCAGTCTGTTCATCATCAGTCTGATGGTCTGTAGACAGTCGGAGCCTCTGAGCATCTAGAAGTAGGTGCTCGGGTGACTGCCTGGATTAAAGACATTAAAACAAGCTTTGGAAGTTCAGGAAAGGCCAGCCCCCTTCCCTGGGCTTTAGGGATGTAGGGAACGGTTATGCCAAGCTGGTTTCCATTTCTGCCCCAAGAACTGGGAGTTAAATAGCCATCCCCAGTGGGGCTTGGTTTGGTAATTCTGGTCTTTCTGCACAGCGAGGTACAGCTGAGTCCCAGCAGTGTTGGCAGGGGAGCATTCCTCCCCACGGGTACAGCAGAATCCGCTCACCCCAGCAGGCCTGTGTTTCTCCAGGCTTTTTTCATCCCCTGGCACAAACAGCAATGAGGGCGGTTTGATGCAGCATGGAAACTTTAACATCTGTATTCCTCAACAGACTATGCAATCTCCAAACCTGACCTCCTGTCCCAGATTGAGAGAGGAGAAGCACCCTGCGGTGGGAACCAGGTGGACTCGGGAGAAAGAGACATTCCTGCAGAACCAAGCGCAGGCAAGAGATGAATTACGAGTTTATCCTCGGGTGTAATGTTTGTGTATTGTCGTCACCAGAGGGTGTCAAAAGGTGATAGTCCTGATTTGCTACGGATGGAGCTTGTCAGATCTTTCTGAGCAGGAGGTTCAGGGGGAATAAGAGAGTGTTAGAAAAAAACGTAATGGGATTGATTTTTCCCATTAGCAGAGTCTCTGGCATTTACGTGTGATGTGAGCAGCCAGGACAACGGAGAAGGAGCGCCGTGCCTGAGAGGACAGGATGACCCGCAGGAGAGAAGGAATACGCTGGCTGAACCCAGAACTGGTGAGTGTTGTTCTGAAAGAGCGTGCTCGGACATGTCTGTCGGGGAGGGCACTGTCCTGAGACACGATCACCTGAGGGATAAGAGGGAAACTGCTTCCCTAGAGAGCTGAGTAAAGCTCCCGGAAAGAGAACAGGAGTAGGAGACACCAAAAAGAGGTTGTATATAAAAGCAGTGTAACTGGGTGCAAACCTTGGCACACCAAGGGAAGAGCCAGATGGTGTTGTGATATCCAGTAAAGAAACCTGGGTTTCCTCTTTACATTAGCAGACTACGCCATTCCAGAGCCAAGCTTTCCATGCGTTGTGAAGCAAGAGGAAGAGCCGTGCGTGGAGGAGCGCGGAGCCACGGAGGTTGCAGAATTTGCAGAGCTCAGTGTGGGTGAGTTCTGAGCAGGTTCAGGCTGTACAGACGGAGAAAAGGTGGAGAGCTGGTGCCACACAAAGGCCTTCACATTTCCACTGTGCGACAGCATATGCTAAGCTGTGGGGACTCAGCAGAGGCAGGTGGGAGAGTGGAGAAAGGACAAGAACCACACTGAGGTTGGGAAGGAGAGGAGAAAGCTTAGGAACAGTATTGCTAGTAGAAAGGTTACAGTGCCAGGTAGGCGAAACACTGTGAAGGGCAAGGGAAAGGACAGGAATCCCTGAAAGAAGTCGAACAGAATACAAGGAGTTATTAGGAAAGGAACTGAGAACAGTTTTCAGCATCTTTTCCAAAGACGTTGCTATGCCACAGCGTTGGAAACTTGAATGCAGTTCACTTGATCTTGAAAAGAATAAAGGCAGTCAGTGACACGGTGCAGAGAAGAGCATCAGGAGGGACAGCTTCGGTATCAGGAGAGACTAAATACCGTAGGACTCTAGCCTGAGAAAGGCGTGGCAAAACGGGATACAACGTAAGTCTGCATTCGTGAATGGTGCAGGGTAGGGGCTGTAGGAACAACCCTTTCTCACACTCAAGATCAAGGGAGCACCCAGTGAGACAAGCAGGCATTTACTTTAGACCAAGCAGCAGAGAGTCTGTTACCATACATGCGTAAGCTGTAGAACATAACTGCCATGGGACACAACCAAGGGTGAAAGCAAAATGGGCTCAGAAGGGGTTTGGGCAGATTTGCAGAGGAGACTGTCGTCTCTGGCTCTGATCGTGCTGCGGGGCAGCTGTCCCCAGCATTTGGCAAGGCAATGGCTGCTGCAGAGCACAGCTCTTTTCTGCAGCCCCTTGAGCTTCTGAGCGTCTGGCCCAAGAAGCTCCCTCTTCCTGGTTTATTCTCACGTCCTCCAAAGCTTATGCGCTGCTCCTTTCCTGGAATTTCTTCTGCTTGGCTGAAGCATTCTCAGAAAAGGGAACTGTACTCTAGAGCAGTCCTACCACAGCTACATAATGGCTGGGGTAGTGACCAGTGAGCTGGCATGACTCTTTTGTTCCCAATATTACAGTAATAGTACTTACCTGAGGAGTAGACCATTCCCAGCTCACCGGTCACTCCCTTGCTTTGGGCTTTCTTCCTCACTGTCCGTCCTGGTCTCTGTGTATTCTCTTTGTGATGCATCAGAGGTATTTGTGGGGCTTGGTCAGTTTTTGATGTTATTTCCCTTCTGATCATAAACGTTGGACCCTTTTTGTCATGCCTCTTGTGTCACCTCTGCATGTCCCATTGTCAGTTGCTCCACAGCACTGATGAACTGAGAGACAACACGTTTTAGACAGGAGGCCAATCCCTGGGCTGGCCTGCTAGATTTTGTGCTCACCCTGTCTACAGCTTTCTAAATGGTTGTATGTTACCAGTTGGTGTCCTTGACCTGTGTTTGGTTTTCTACCTGTGCGTTATATTCACATCCAGGTGAGCTGAAGCAAAGTGTTCAGATAGGAGTGAGAGTCAAGAGTAAGTTCCAGACAGTCCTAGCTCAGAGATGAGAAGTAATGAACCCCCAGAGCAGGTCTGCCTCACAGAAGACTGTGGAAGAGGTTTCCTCATAACATATATATCCAAAGCAGTAGCAGGTATGTCTCGGAGTCAGAAACAGCTACTGTTCGTGTGTTCTCTTTAAAGAAGGAAGCTACGTAGATGGGTCCTCACGTCCAGGGCACAGAGGGAAGGTAGATCCCATGGAATGGGCTGGTGCTCTCTGAAGAGTGAGAAATACTGAGTCACTGGTGTGGGAGGGAGGCAGATACCCAGGCTGTATGAACAAAGGAAGCAAAGGGCTACCCCAGGTTCATGAGATATCAGCGCTTAGAGGAAGGAAGATGGCTGGAGACATTCTGGAAACTGTCTGGGGAGTGTTTGAGCCCTACTGTCCTGGAAGGCAGAACTTCTTTCTGCCCCCTCCCTCACAGCTTCTCGCACTCGCTGTTAAGCCAGCTGAAACGGAAGCGTTCTTGTGCTTTTCACTTGTACCCTCTCTCCTTTTAGTCTTTCAGCTAGTTCTGTTGGTCTGTGAGTGCAGCTGCCTTTCATGTTCCCTGTGTAAGACAGGTCTGTTTGATTCATGTATGGGGGAAGGAATGGGGGAATTTCGGAAGAGTCTTGTATCTCAGGCCAATGAATGTCCCTTTTGTTGTTGTGTTCAGTTCCAGCAGATGAAGTGCTGACATTCAAAATAGAACAGCTGGACTCTTACGAATCTCTTCACAGCTCAGAGACCCCCAGGACATTATCCAGGGAAGCACAGGAGCTTGTTTTCCAGGGTCCCAGTGAGGAGCTGCCCTTTGATAGTCAGTACAGCTCCCCGGTGCAGCAGAGAAACCAGAGGACAAGTGGGCTGGTACCATCTTCTCCAGAGGAAGGGGGTCTTAGTGAAAGCAACGCTGTCACGTTTTACGGGCAAAGCTGTCCCAGTGAGAGACCTCACACATGTGGTGCCTGTGGGAAGGGCTTCCGGCTAAAGAAGATCCTCACAATGCACCAGCAGAGCCATGGCGCGCTGTGCTGTGGTGAGCACACTGAGCACGACGAGAGCTTCCTGCATCAGCAGCACTTCAAGCTGCAGCAGCAGATCCACGCGGAAGACAGGACCCATGCAGCTGTGGAGCGCACGGAGAGCCTCAAGCAGAACAACAGTGCAAAAGCCCACCCCAGGATCCCAGCCACAGACAAAGCATACAGCAGTCCCAAATGCATGAAAAGCGTCAACACCAACGGCAGCTACAGGCCAAGTCAAAAGAGCCAGCTGCGGGATAAACCTTACAAGTGCAACAAGTGTCAGGAGAGCTTCTCGCAGAAGAAAACGCTCGCCATCCACCAGCGTGTGCATTCGGGCCGGAGTGGAGGGGTCCTGGGTTGCTCGTACTGTGGGAAGACCTTCAGCCACCCCTCCAATCTGATCCGGCATCAGAGGATCCACACTGGAGAGAGGCCATACCAATGCAGCGAGTGCTCAAAGAGCTTCACCCAGAAGCAGCACCTCCTCCAGCACCAGAAGATCCACCTGCGTGAGAGGAACCCTGTGGGTACACAGAACGTGCGAAAGGCACCACTAAACAACTTCTTCTAGGTTGTGCTGGGCTTGCTCGGATCCTGCAGCCCCTGCAGGAGGTGGAAGAAAAGAAAGTCTCTGTCTCTCTGCTGCTCAGCGTTAAAGGTTCTCTGACAATTTAATCCAAAGGTCCATGCAAAGTAGGATTAGGATTCACCCTGGCACCACTGCCCTTTTCTTCCTGGTGTGATGGTATGCCATGGTACCTCCTAGTCAGCCTGAAAATCTCTTGAGAATGAAAGTGTTTAGGACCTCTCCAGGTTTAAAGGAAGCACGTGGAATCAGTTGGTTGAACTGGTTACAGCTAGGTAGAGTTTTTCTGAAGCAGCCGCTCTTTGCCTGGAGTTTCCCTGGCTGCTCCCTGTGCTGAAGTTCTGCTGTGCTCAGTTTCATGGGCGACTTGGAGTTGCATATTCTCAAAAGACTCTTGGCAACTACAGGCGCGCACAAGGTGAGGCCTTGCTGATGGTCTGCTCGGAGGCCGCGTTCACCAAGGAGGGGCAGCCAGTAAGTTCCCTACTCTCTGTATGCCTCAACACAGGCTAAATGACGTTTTCATTGCTGCTACTGCTCAGGAAGCTAGCTAGAAAAAAATAGGTTCAGTTGTTTCTCTAGAGCTTAAAATTGGATTTAGTTTGCTGTAAATGATAATGGTAGGGCCAACTCTGCTCTGAGCTGCTCTGATCTACATCGGGATGTGCACCGTGGGAGACTCTAGACTTGCACTGCAGTAACTACAGGTTGCCCAGCGAGGCTGTGGAGTCTCCTTCCCTGGAGACAGTCAAAACCCGCCTGGACGCGGTCCAGGGCAATGTGCTCCAGGTGACCCTGCTTGAGCAGGGGGGTTGGACTAGATGATCTCCAGAGGTCCCTTCCAACCTTGGCCGTTCTGTGATTCCGTATCCGTGAGGGGAATTTGCTCCATCATCTGTCACTTCTGAACACACCTAAAGGAGATGGCATCAGCCAAATCCTGTTGATACCTCTAAGACAATTCCAGTGGAACTGAATAGGGAAACCACTTGTTAGCCACAGATGGTGCACATCTGTACTCCTGTGCTGAAGTAAGTGTTGGGATAACGGTTTTTCTGGTAGCTGCCTGTACATTAACACTTCAGTTCTGCTTATTTATTGTTCGTTGTCTTTTCCTGTCTTTATCTCCCTTTCTCCCTGGGTAGCCTGTGGTACAGATGCTTTTTGCTCTTGAGGATGAGCTTTCCTTATATCCCAGATGGTTAAAGAAACATTTCCCAGCAACTCAAATTTGTTGAGCGAGTTGCCCAAATATGTTGGGGCTCCTATTGTTACTTGACCAGGTTTAAACCTGCTGTTAGTTCCCGCCATCACTAATCTGTGTTTAGAAACCCCCTCAGTGGCTTCCTGACCCCAAGGTGTCCAGAGGGTGCAGGCAGGGTTGCGGGGGGCTTGTCCCCCCGGGGCAGAGCTGTGCACTGACTGCAGCTGGCTGCCGTGGTGGCTGCCCTGAGCCACCAAGAGGCCTCATGGGAGGGGAAGGGCCGGTTGAAGGCTTGTGCTTGAGCGCAGACTGCCTCAGCGCGTTGCTGCGGCGTTTAACCAAGGGGACCGTGGGCAGTAACCACTGAGGCAGAGGAGCTGGAGAAGTCAGCCCGTTTCCCAGGCTGTTCCTCCCGGACCTACCTGAAATCTTTTCGACCCACTCCCACTCGGGCTTGTCCCTAGCCAAGCCACACTGGAATGAGATCTGCCCCAGCAGAGCTTGAAGACCGGTCCATGATTGTCGTTGTGCCGTATTGCCTTTTACATGTTTTCCTCTGGAAGCTCGTTTGGCTGAAGAGTGAGGTCTCTTTCCAGGACCTCGCTGCTCATCTTCGCCTGCCCTGCCGGCAGAGCGTGATGCAGGAGCGCTCCCGTGCTGCTTCGGCCCAGCCGGGGCGGCCAGCTCAGAGCCCCCGCGCTGTTAAACTAACCTGATTTTTGCCCGGAGCAGGCTGGCGGGAGCCTGCGGGAGCTGCTCGGAAGCCGTGCTGTGGGAACTGGCACCGAGCCACGCGCGCGGAACCGTCTTCAGCTGCAGGTGTTTGCTTGGTGACCAACTGCCTGCAGCACCGTCCTCTCATCTTAGTGCTGCTGAGGTCTTTGACTGCACAGCTTCTGCGGGGCGTGAGCAGGTCTGCGTGCGGCAAGCCCGTCTCTGCACACGTTCATTTTCTCAAAGTAATAAGTCCACGAGGACAGAGCGTTTCACGTTCCGTCGCTTCTTAGCGGTCGGTGGCTGCCTGCTACCCTGAAGCAGCGAAAACAGACTAATGTTTCCCCCGTGTTTGTCCAGGTCTGGCAGACGTGCTAAAGGAGGATCTCTTGGCAGTTAGCAGGATAGGGCATCTCATACCTGGACAAGGCGTCGAGGTCCTGCCCAGGAAGCAGATAGACCAGGCAGTTCTTCAGTGGTTTCCTACTGACTCCAGTTGGATTTCTCGCCTCCCTTTTACCCTCCCGTCGCCCAGGCTGTGAGCCCTCCAGGGCAGAGAACTTGTTTGTTTCTATCTGTTTGTAAAACGCCGGTTACATTTGCAGCAGTAGATACTTGATTTTTAATAATAACAGTAACATTAAACTTGAACGGATTAAAGCTGTGAAGTTCTAAATGCTTTCCTTTTTTTTGGTTTTGGTTTTTTTAATCCTCCTGCTGTGCTCTGGGCAAAGCCCTGACCGTGGAGGCCGCCTTGCCCGGAGCGTGGCCTGAGCCGGCAGGGACAGCTCACGCGCGCTGCCAGCAAGCTCCTAGGGAATCGCGTTCTCTCATCTTCCTTGGGAGCAGGAAGTCCCTGTCTTAACACTCACGTTTCCTGCTCAGAGCAAACAGCAGTTTGTAGTATCATGCCTTACTAATGGCAGACAGAGTCTACGCTGAATTAGAAAGAGGAGCGCATGGGTTTTCAGTGTTTTTTCTTTGTTTTTTTTTTAATATTGCAGTGGAACCTAAGCAGAAGAACTGTTGTCAGTGCGCGCATCTGAGATCTGGAGGCGGCCTGAATTGTAATAGCTTCTAAGTATAGCGTGTGAATAAGCTCGCGGTACAGCTCTCCTTCTACAGGCAGACCAAATGAGTCCTGCTGCCAGCAACAAGTTTTCAGCAACCCCAGCGTTACAGCCTTCCTTACCTCCGCCCGCCCGGCTGAGCCTAGGAAGCGCAGGACGCGTTCTAGGATGGGACTCAAAGACACTGTTGCATAAAGTAGCAGAGGTGCAGTTATCACTGAATAATTAAACCAGCTTCAAAGATGAGTTGGTTCCCCGGAACATCCTACATCTTAGTTAGGATCACTTTGGCAATGTGCAAAATTTATTTACAAACATAACTCCAGGTGATTCTTCTGGGCCGTTACTGTGTCTTACCGTGTCTGACAATAACAAGTAATACTGAGCAGTCCGGCAGCGTTGCTCTCTCTCCTCCCTGTTGCACCACTGTTAGACATTTTATTTTTAAACAATAGTTAAAGAAAGTACTGCCGACTGATGTGATGCTCGCATCTGAGATTAGCTTCTCCTTCTGCATGTCTCTGTAACCACAACCGCAGACGAATCGGTGTCCGGATGGCAAGAAGATAGGCGTTTTAGAAACGCGGGCTGGGAGGGTTGCGCTATTTTAACAACGCTGTCTTATTTTTGATCGGGAGAGTTAATATCTTAACGGTTGTCGAAGCATCAGAAATAGTTGATGTGCGCTCCGTATTCCATCTGTTGTTGCTGCCGCCCTTGGTATCAAAGCTGAAGCAGTGTTTTGCCCAGGGAGTCGCACTTCCCCTCTCTGCCCAGCTCCCCAGTGTCTCAGAGATAAGGACGCGTACTTAGAATGAATGGGAGAGCTCTTCAGAGCTTTGTGCTTCCTGCTTTTCACAAATTCAGTCGTGACTGCCACAAGCGCTGCTCAGCGACGCAGGCATGCACCGGCCTCGGGACTGCACGGGGCTCCTCACTTGCTCGCTGTTTAGTGACACCCGGATTCCTTGGACGTCAGCTTAACGCAGGGCTTAGTGCTCTCTTCCTTCCCGCGCACGGACAGAGCGATGCCTACAGCGCCCGACACAATTTTGCTTAAAAACACCTCAAGCTTTTGCTGGTTTGCGCTGCGAGGGCTTCCCGTGGCTAGAGCAATCCCCCTTTCCTTTGCTTTCTGGTTCCAGACTGCTGTTTACAGAAGCGTCTCTGTGCATCTTGCCGTACAGAGGCAGGGCTGGCGCGTCTGCGTGGCGGGCGCGCGAGCTCCGCCGCAGTCCTCCTCTGGAGCACGCCAGCCCCCGGCTGCCCCGGGGCCCCCTGCCGGCCCCAC